AAATGTTTGCTCTAGCTGAGGAATAGTATTAGAAGAATGTTCTAACCATGTGGCCTACTTTACTGCTTCAGTATGTCTGCTCCAAAAGCTTATCCTGGGGCCAGGTAGTAGCACCATTTCATGTGCTCTACCTCCTGAACCAGAAGCAGTGTCAGTATATGTGCACAGCACCATGGCTTAGCTAATTACCACTGCTGAAATTAGCTGACAACCTAGTAACTCATCATATTTTTTTCTAGGAAAGGGTTCCCCTTTCAGGGTGTTGGGGAATGAACTTGAGGGTGGTATCTATCACAGTTGACTCACGGTTCTTTCCATCTAGGTTGTGCCACAAAGTCCTCTTTCCATCTAGGTTGGATAGATTCACTGTCTTTGAGGAGTGTCAAACTATCCTGCGATTGCAGGAAAATAGGACTGTGGGGAGTTGAGTCACAGATGGCTTTTGTTGTCTGGAAAAAGCTATGCATGTCATGTTTGTCAATATAGAGCTGGATCTCCTTGGCGTTGTCACCACTGATTTTTGATTTCCCAGATCCTTCTCTGACCTTCAACTTTGAGCTGATACATCTCCTTCTTCTGCTGAGATAAGGTGTCATCTTGCCAAGCAGAATAAGCCCTTCTCTTCCAGTTGAGCAGGGCTTGGATCTCAGCATCATTCTCATTGAACCAGTCTTGATGTCAACAGGTGTAGCAAATCACTTCAGCACAGGCCATATGGAAAGTGGCTTTAAATTCCTCCCAGAGTTCCTCAATGCTGCCTTCATTTGTGGATATGGCAGACAGCCTTTCATGGAGACACTGTTAGACCTTGGTCTTGAAGAGATTTGGTTGTGAGTGTCATGATCCACCAGGCCAGCTGGCCTAGTGGGTAGAGTTGAGCATGGTAGGAGTTGCAGGGGTAAGGGTCAGAAGCCAAAAAAGCCAAGCCAGGGTCAGAAGCCAGGAATCAGAAACCTAGTTACCAAATCCAAAGGGCAATCCACAGGGTGAAGTCCAGGAGTAAGGCAAGCCAGGGTCAGGAGTTAGGAAACAGGTCTGCAGAGAGAATCCAAAGACTGAAATCCAGAAGCAAGCCAAAGGCCGGGTCAGGAACCAGGGAAACCAGAGCTGTTGCTGCAACAGGAGCTGTTCAGAGACTGAAGATGAGTGTTGTGCAGCAAGGCTCAGGTGCTGGAATCTGTCCTATCTCCCGACGCCCTTGCCTCTGTTAACCAGGTCCTGCACGGTGGCGGTACCTGCCCCCCTCCCTCCCCCCCGGGTGTCCTCCAGTCCACTAGAGTTTGTTGTGGAGCTGACGCCTCAGCTGCCCTCATGGTGCTCCCCACTTTACCACCTGAGCCAGCTGGAGGACACCAAACCAGTCCACTTTTCCACCGTCCATTGCCACCACCTCTACACGCTCGCGTGCCACACGATCCACCATGCCACCCTCACGTCATGCCCAGACACCAAGGGGAGGGACCTGCTCAGCGAGGGCATAGCTTGGGTACCCCAGTGGCTGAGCCTGTACTCCACCCTCATCCCACGAGTCACAGGGGACCTCAGCTGGCGGCTCCTCTATGCAGCCGTTGCCATGGGCGTGTATGTGGTGCGCTTCAGACACCCTGGTCTCCTGCCCCTTCTGCGGGCAGAGGGAGACCCTGGCACCCATGACACTCAAATGTGGCAGACTGCAGCCCCCACATCTCCACCTCCAGAACCTCCTTGTGAGGTTCTGGTTGAACTTCACCCCCCACCTTTTTATTTTTGGGCACCCCATCTGCAAACCCACCAAGTCCTGGGACCTCACGGTCAATGTCCTCCTGGCCCTGGCCAAGTGGGCCCTGTACATGACCAGGAAGGAGGCTCTAGCTGGGAAGGTGCCCAGGGACTGTGGGGCCGCTTTCCTTTCACTCATCTGTGCACGTTTCTGGGCAAAGCACCACTTGGCAGCATCCACTGGCTCCTTGGATGCCTTTGAGGGTGCAGCGCAGGGGGCTCTGCTCGTTGTCCCCCGCAGGCGCACTTATGTTCATGTTCTGACCCTTTGACCAATATGACTCTTTCACCCTGTTTTTGCCTTACTTGTCCCAAGCATTTTGTTGCGTTATTCATTCACTGGCCCCACAGCGTGCGGGCCACTAGTTAGTCGGGTGGGCCTTAGGGCCCATGGCACTTGGGTAACACAAATAAACAGGTGCTGGAGGAGTTCCATAAATACAGCTCCAGAACCAATCAGAAGGAAGGTGTTGCAGTTGAGCTGGTCTTGATTAGTAGTAACTGCGTCAGTGCACTTAATAAGGGCTGCAGGGCAGAAGCCTGCTTGAGCCTTACAGAGCTGACCCAGGCTGCAGCACAGGAGCCTTACATTGAGAATCCTTAGCATTGCTTTTGTTGCAATCCCTGGAAAGACATCGAAATCCAGGTCTACAATGCATTCATCATTCCCATTCTCTTTTACGGATATGAAACATGCGTGACCTACTGTCATCATCTCAAAGAGCCTGGAGAGGTATCACCAACGATGCCTCTGAAAAATCCGCCACATCAAATGGGAAGACCACTGAACAAATGCCAGCATCCTTGCTCGAGCCAATGTTACAAGCATTGAGTCAGTGATTCTCAAGCATCAACTTCACTGGACTGGACATTGTGTGCAGTTACCCAACTCTTGACTCCCAAAACTGCTCTGCTCCCAGCTTAGTAGCAGCCTGATTTCTCATGGTGGCCAGAGGCAATGCAGTAGGATACGCTTAAAGCATACCTCAAGAAAACAGATGCTGACATTGAGACTTGGGAAGAGCTGGCTGCCAACCAACTCCAATGGCATTGCAACCCCAACCAAGCAGCACCGTTTTGAGGTAAAGCGTCTTGCCTTCAAAGCAAAGAGAGAGCAGAGGAAGGAAAAGGAGAAAAATCTCAGCCTTAAGCCTATTTTTCCCTGCAGAAAAACCTGCAACTGCTGTGGACATATCTTTGACTTACGATTGTGTGTGTGTGGAGGGGGGCAAGGGGGACTGAGCTTTAGTTAAAGAGCCCCCGCTGCCATTTTTCAGCATGCGGACGCTGATACACATGACACTGGAGTCTACTGAAGTGCAGTAATTACCACACTCCAGCAGACTCGATTCATTGAGTCTGCTTCAATGTGCTGTGATTACAGTGCATCAGAACAGCCTTGCTGTATAGGTGCCCAAGGATTGGACTCTTAAGTCACATCAAAACCTATCAGTGGGTTTTACCCATTTTGTGGTAGAGATCGTCTTTGAATTGAGGGATTGCTGTCACTACCACAAAATAGCTCACCTACACCGACAAGTGAACATATCAACACAGCTTCCCATTCCAGAGGTAACATTCACGAAGCAGCTCTGGCTCATGGTAAATTTGCAACAGAGAATTTCAGCCTAAGGAAAAATTCATTCAGCACAGAAGTTCCAATAGTAACAGAGCTCAAAGCAGGAACCAGACTTGTAAAAGAAAATTATTGGCTCTGTTTAAACCTGAAGCTGAAGTCTCCAACATTTCTTCGAACACCTAAGTTTAAGCTTGTTGTAGCAGATGTACCATTCTTCCTTTTAGGTTCCAGCAACTTTGAAAATTAGAAAGGAATCAACTCTGGCCCTGGCATGTTAGATCTCCACTGGTCCAGCACAACAGACCAATGTCATCTCTTCCCTTCTATCAGATTGGTTAGAACCTACTTCAGTCTCAGGGATTGGTTTTATATGACCACTCCCTGCTGTGTGCGCATTCCATACTACTGCCCCATCTCTCAGACCTGCAATGAACATGCAGTGCAATACACTTCATACAAAGAAAATAACTTTTATTAGATAATGCAATCGAGCCCTGAAAAAATAGGTGTCAGGTAAACATTACTAAAGATTTTTCCAGCAATGTAGAAACACTTTTAACTGAGGAATTGCAGAAGTTGATCAGAATGGTATTTCCATGTTCCCTTGTTTTGTTGGTAAATTTAAATTCTTTCCCTCTTTAGTGGCACCAGCTACTGCTGTGTTGACAGCACAAAGTTTAGCATTATTGAAAGATTTCACAGAACTGCTTTTTATGATCTCTCCTGTCCAACCATTTCCCACTAGTTGCTACTGTACAATGCGGTTAATTGGTTTTCTTCCCATTTGTCATCTAAAAAGGAATATGGCTGAAAAAACATGTAACAGTTGGCTTATGAAAATAAACAACAGGTAAAAATAAATGGCATATGTACAGTACACAGATTTCAAAACTAAAAGGAACATGGTTAATATGCAAAGGATGTGCCCATGAGATTTAATGTGTATAAGACTAAAGCAGTGCATTGTGAATAGACTGAACCCAGCAAATACATGGAGAAGTTGCAGGGACAAAGAAACCCTTGTGTTTGTTATTAAGGCCAGATATGATGTGCAATTGTGGAAGCTGGGAATGAGGGTTTTGTAGCAATTAAAGTAAATGGGACCTTCATCAGCATGTTTTCATGTCTCCTTACATGAAAGTGGCACAAGCTAAGTATGCTCAGAAAGTATTGAGTCAGGCTTTACTGACAGCCCTTACTGACCCAGCTCAGTTGTTACTAACGAGAGGCCTCAGAAAGAGGACATTTTTGCCTCCAACTTAAATACACTAAGTTAACACTAGGGGTTTTGACATTTCAGTGGCATGATTAATTGGGCTCATCATACTCAGTATCTGCTACTTACAGTCATGGCCTCCACCAAACCTACTGGAAGTAGCAACACACTTGCAAGCACAATGTCAGTGAGTTGGAACTGAAGTGAGGCATAAACTCTGATAAGCTAAAGTCAAAGACAAGCTAGGCTGTTGCACTTCCATTTCATCCCAATCCATCTACACTGGGCACAACCCTTCATTTCCTGTAATGTGTCCTGCCACTTACACCCTGTCCTGTTAGAAGTTGATTTTAACCAAAGGTTCGGGCTCTTGCCTGTGAGAGCTCTGCACCCCCAACGGCAATAAAACAGGGGCAGGACAGAATAGACCATTCCCCCTTTCTCTAAAACCAGAGCTGTGCTACAGGCAGGAAACAGTTGGGGTGGCTGAGTAAGCCTCCTGGATTTGGTAGGACTGTTCCCCACCACATTCCCCACACCACGTCCAGGGGAATTTGCTGCCCACTAGGGTGTCTCCTCCTTTCTCTTATGAAGGATGTGCTCTAGTTTTGTATGGTTTGGTTGTCATTTACTCTACCAATAAGAAAGGGAGCCAGGAGAGTCTACAGCAGAGAAAAGTTACTGAGACCAGGGCAGATCAGCACTGAGGCACTTGAAGAATCATCTGAAGAAACAAACTCTGTAACAAGGAGAGGGGGTTTATCAAAACCAAGGGTTAAGCTAAGAAAATAAATTATTGCTATGCTAGGAAAACCTAAAACAAGAGGAAGGACATAATCTGTACACTCCAGCTCGGCAGAAAGCTGAAATGGCAAGTTCAGCTATTTTTATTAATTACTTTGTTTCTTCCCTTGTGCCCTTCCATGAACTTTATAAAATGTGCAGCTCACTGAGCAAAGAGGAACCAAATCAGTTGTCACAGCCTATACACAACAGAGCTTTACAAATAGGACACTCTTCCAAATTTCTATGTTATCTGTTATTACATAAATAAAGGACTCTTGGGCTTGGAGGCCCTGGCTTCCATCCAACAGGACAGCTATTAACTTTACAAAACAGAGAACTAACTGGGGTGCTCCCAAGCCAAAGGCCAGGTTCTGGGCTGTTTCAAGGAGTCTGCTGTTGTGCTGGAACATGTGCACAGGTGACCAAATGGCCTGTTCATGAGAACATGCCTCCACAAATGTACTCCTCCTCCTGCTGGTCAAAGACACAGGGTCTTTAGTGGGTTCACTGGAAGCAGCAATCAAACCTGAAACAAAAGCACCACAGAGAGGGTTAGACTCACTGTGCTCTCCCATGGCAATATGTCCCATGACATGCTGCTGCAGCCAGATTCAAGCCACCATTTCCCCAAGGCCCAGCAATTGTTTCAAAAACTTCCATATACCTTAGAACAGAAGATGCACCTTTTAAAACTTAATACTTATTCTAAGAATGGCTGCATCTTACAGTATATAAAAAGTAAAAGGTTCTCATATGCACCATCAAAGCTGCATCCTTTTAAATGTTTATTTGCTGTTTTATTTTTTTCTTAAATGGACAATCAGAAAATCTGGATGGGTCTTAAATTCAAGGGCATTTAATATTCAAATGAATATGGTCCTTCCTAAAGAGGCTTTTAACTAGATGTGCTGGAGCTGCTTCTGGGGGGAGGGGTTACAGCTCCTTTGTCTTCCTTGGAAAGGAGCAAACAGAGAAAAAGCACATTCCTTCCTTCTATCCCAGAAAATGCCTATGCTGTCTCTGCACTGATCCCCTCTCCACACCCTCTGGTTGCTGCATGCTGTATCCACAGTACTGGCCTTCACTTCAGGCAGCATGAAGACAGCAGCCCCAAGGTCCGGGTTAGACCTCAGTGCACTACTGCCTTCCTCCTTTTTGCACTGTCTCGGCCTCTTCCAGCTCAGACAGAAATTTGGTTAAGAAGCAGAGTCAGGCCTAGGTTTGGCTGCAGTTTCTGAAGTTTCCCTGGGAACTCCTCCTCCTTCTACTAAAAAGGCTGTTTCAAGCAGCTGGCTAGGGACAGGATGCAGGCCAGTTCACATGAAATATGGTGTCATGGTTCACAGGATCATAGGAAAATAGGATTGAAAGAGACCTCAGGAGGTTGCGAAGTCCAACCTCCTGCTCAAGGTAGGACCAGCCCTGTACTGGCTGGGAATCAACCTCTGAACCTGTGTCATGAGTGCAGACTGTACCATAGCCCCCATGGCCTGCAATCCAGACCAGAGAAGTTCTGCTCTCCTCCACATGAGCCATGTGCGCCTCCTTGCAGCTACACCAGCGCTGTCTCTAGAATGGACACACATTCGGAATCCTTTCAGAAGGTGACGGTTTCAAAGGGGCAGCAGCTGGTATGTTCTGTTATGTGTGAATGTGCTGAGAATCATTCAGATGTAGCAATATTCAATCCAACTTTAAGGGTGAGATGGCTAACTCTGTGGCTGCTGTGTTCACCAGCTCTCTAGCCACAGTATATGCTGGGAGCAGGCGGAGAACTCTCTTGCACCACTTGGATGGCCCCCGATTGGCCCCACCCTGGCTCCACAATAGGCCCCTCCACCCCTGGATCACTGCCCTGCTTCCCTGATTAGCCCAAGAACCCTGCTGCTGTCCAGCAGTTCCTTGCTTCTCCACCCCCTCCCCACTGCTCCTCTTCAGCTGGAGTACCCAGTGAAGGCAAGATGTAGGCATGTGGGGATGACATGGTCTGCAGGGAGCCCAGAAGCAGGAAGGGGGGGGGACGACCCTCCAGCGGCTCCCTCCAGGACTCTTGGGCTGACTGGATCACAGGGAGGCAATCCAGGGGTGGAGGGACCAATGTGGGGCGGAAGGAAGGATCAGGAGATGCAAGTTGAGGGTTTGAGAGACATCAGGGGGAGCAATCCAGGAAGTAGGGAGGATTGGGGTGGCAGGGGATGATTTAGGGATCGAGGAGGCAATTTAAGGGGGAAAGCTGGGGAGCAGAGAGGGCAGCAGTTTAAAGTAAAGTGCTGTTTGGGTGGGGGGTTAATATCTGTAACAACCTCACACACGTTAGACTCCTGCCCTTTTGAAAACCTCTCTTTTTGAGAGTGCTCCAAATGTACTTGTGTCTACACCCTCAGCTACACTTACACTCACCAGATCATCCTAGAGCACTGATCCTCAGCCAGAGATCTTTTTAAGGGTGTCAGGGGTCCCACATAATATTAACACTGTTAGGTGTGAAATTCCAGAGATTTAAAATAGGCAACCAAAGTGTTAAAAACATTCTGACCTGCTGTGGTCTGAGTTCTTTGCGAAAGTAGAATGGTCCTGTTGTTTTTCCATAGTCAAAAAACAAGGAAAAGCTTAGAGCTGGCATTTTCCAATGGGTGCCTCAAGTTTAACAAGGGGGTCCTTGAGACTAAAAAGGTTGATAACCACTACCCTAGAGTCAAATCATTCACCAGAAAGTTACGTCATTGACAGCATGTGGGAACAACCCCACCCCTATCCCCTCTAGGACACATCCTGGTCCTGCACTTGGGTTTTGAATTTCCAGGTGCTTTTCCAAGAATCATAGAAAATTAGGGTTGGAAGGGACCTCATTAGGTCACATCTACTCCAACCCCCTGCTGAGAGCAGGACCATCCCCAACCAGATCATCCCAGCCAAAGCTTTGTCTAGCTGTGTGTTAAAAACCTCCAAGGATGGAGATGCCACAACCTCTCTGGGCAACCTGTTCCTGTGTTTTATGACCCTCCTCGTGAGAAAATGCTTCCTAGTATCTAACCTAAACTTCCTTGCTGTAATTTGAGACTGTTGCTCCTTGTTCTGTCATCTGCCACTACTGAAAACAGTCTAGCTCCCTCCTCTTTCAAACCACCCTTCAGGTTGTTGAAGGCTGCTATTAAATCCCCTCTTGGTCTTCTCTTCTCTAGACTAAATAAGCCCAGTTCCCTCAGCCTCTCCTCAGAAGTCATGTGTCCCAGGTCCCCCAAACCATTTTTACTGCCCTCTGCTGAATTCTGTCCAATTTGTCCACATCCTTTCTGTAGTGGGGGGCCCCAAAACTGAACACAGTACTCCAAATGTGGCCTTACCAGTACACAATAGAGGGGAATAATTAGTTCCCTCAACCTGCTGGCAACACTCCTACCATTGCAGCCCAGTATGCTGTTAGCTTTCTTGGCAACAAAGGCAAACTGTTGGCAAATATTCAGCTTATTGTCCACTGTAACCCCCAGGTCATTTTCTGCAGAGCTGCTGCCCAGTAGTCAGTCTGCATCTGCAGGACAGATAAACTCCACCAGGCAGAGCAGAGCAGGGGGTGGGCCCTCAACAGGCAATCTCAGTGAAGCAGTTTCTCAACAAGTGCTCCAGCAACAATTAATCATGTCTAACTCCAGTCCTGGAGCCTCCAGCTTCTCTCTTGAGGCTCAAAAGAAAGACACTGAACATCAGAGGCCAGAGGCAGGCATGGAGGAACAGCACTGACTGCTGTAGCCAGTTCCTTGGGGGTGGCAAGCAACAGCATTTTGTCAAATGAAAGTCCCAAGAGATAGGTTAGTGGTTAGATGATTGGTTAAAATTCAACTCAGCGATGCTCACTGGGATCAGGATTAGGGACTGGGCCCGACTTAAGTCTTCCCCTTTCTCAAATTCACTCGTTCTGCCTCTGCAGCTTTTAACCTGGGAGTGAGGCCCACAGCATTCAAAGAGATATCTCTGACCACATGGGCCAGTGTCTCCCTGATCAAATAAGTCACACTCTCAGGGGTTGGGGAGCTGTGAGGTCAGGATCTCAGGAGCTTCCTGTGGAACACATGGTAAGAGGGAGCTGTGGAGGAAGTTCCCCTGACTAAGGAGATGCCTGGCACACCTGGAGAGTACTAAGAGCTGCTGGAATATCCCTACCAGATGCTACTTACAGCAGCTCCGCTTCTTTAGGCAGAATACGTCTGCAGAGGGATTCACACTACTGTCGAGGGGCTTATGGTGACCTGGCCTGCTTTCTGCAGAAAAGAGAAGCCAGCATTAGTTCAGGGTTAGGAGATGCTGAGTGTCAGGACACCATCAAACAGGACAGGGAGGGTAAGAGACTGGAGAGTCTCAGAGGAAAGAAAAAAGTAGAATGCGAGCATCTCAGAACAGTCAGGCTCCTAAGTGACTCACCTGGAGTTTTTTGCCCATGGAACTGCTTCTACAACACCTGGCCTGCCTGGGGAAGCCCTTGCATCATTCCTATTAGGGCACTCCCGAGTGTGTGCCAGCAGCTGAAATGGGCTTCTAAACCATGGCCACAGTGACATGTGGGCTGGAACTGCAGACCCTCTGAAGATGGCTTTGGAGACCCCGCCAGGCAGGGGTCTAGCTGTACAGGCTCTTAGGCCCTTTGTAAAGCTGCTTGCTCCTAAGAGGTGTCTAATTCCTGAGTCAGGATTTCATAGTACTAGAAGCTTGATCTTGTCCCTTTGCGGAGCATGGGAGTCTTGGCATTTACAGCTGGACAGACAGATTGACAGATAGACAGTGGGAGAAAATCTCCTGTCCCCTTGCTAGCTCCTACAGGGCTGATGTATGGTGCAAGCACACTGCCCATTTACAGCAGTATAATCTACCTTTTCACCAATGTAAACATGGAGTAGACACATGACGTGCAACCCTATCCCAGTGTAAGTCACACCACTGTGGAGTTGTTATCTGTCAAAATCAGGGTGACTGTAACTGCAGTATGTACGTTATACACAAATGTGGGTCATAGCCCTGGTCAATTTTAAACCAAGGTAGCCTTTTTGCTGCTTACAGAGGTGAGGATCTGTAATTAGGCCCACTTCACACAGCTACTTTTTGCCACCTGTGTATCTGTCCACTCTGTACACTGACGTAACTTGTGTTGGTGTGCAAAAGGGTATAAGTCACATCAGTATTAACATGTCGTATGTCCACCCCTGCAGAAGCAACATCTTCAACCTTGCTACAGAAAAGCTGCTTGAGGCAGTGATTTGTATGTAAGATATGAGGGCCCTGCTTGCTCTCACTTACTGCAGAAATATACTGGCTGTTTCTGAATCTGGGTTTCTCCTCCAGCGGGGATGCCAGCATGGAGCTGTGCTGTGAGCCCAGCGGTGTGTACAGTAGAGATGCCACATCGTCACAGAAGCTCTCCTGTGGTGCGCTGGAGACACAGCCACTGTCGGAGCCACTGGAGCCGCTGCCTGACATACACTGTGAAGACTCTGAGCTCTCTGTTGCTGGGAGGAGAAAGGGAAGGAACAGTCTGTAAGTGACCAGCAGCCTGTGACCAGATGGCAGGCTCATGAGAAGCCACATGAACAGTCTTGCTGCATATACTGGACTCACTGGAACATTTGCCTATGTAGCCCATGGTCCTCCCATTCCTGTGGCTGGGCCTGGTCAATTCAGAGGCCTCAGCAAAAACAACTGCAATGGGTGCAGTAGGAACCAACACTGTAAAGTTAGCAGGGCAGACTCGCTGACAGGTCACAACTAAGGGTCACAGCTAAGGGACAGGTCACAACTGACAGGTCACAACTAAGGGGAATCAACTAAGGGAAATCACTCTAGGACTGATTGGTACTCCTCAGGCAATCACTGTTGTAGACCTGGTGTCTTGGCCAAGTTAGGACCCTCACCTACTATGCCAGCCTGAAGCAAAACATTCCACTTCCTGTCCTAAACTGGTGAGTCATGATGCTACCTCACCCCAGAGGGCAGCAGCACTTCAGCTGCTGGGGAAATGCTCCCAGTTTCTCATAAAGCACTTGAGATCTTTTGGGATGAAAGAGGCTACGGGGGTGATTGGTGGTGGTCACTAACTGGAAGACAGGCCAGCTGCTGGGTCTTGGTGATAAGGTTCAATTTATCACTTTATTATGTGCAAACCTGAGGCAATGGGAGTGACTCAGTTTCTCTCTGCTCAGTTTCCCACCCTGGGCAATGGGAACACCAGCACTGCCATGCTACACAGCAGAGTTGGAAGGGAAAATCTATTCAGCAGGAGAGGTTGGTAAGTCCCAGATCACCCTCTTCCAGAGTGGAAGCAGCATGTTCCCTAATGGACAGACCCCTCAGACCTGCTGGAGAGCGTCCGCTGTGCTGCCCTGCCATCAGGGAGAGTTCCACTGGGGCAGTTCTGCTTGCCTGATGAATCTGTTAACACACAGACTCCCTGCTAGCAACACTGGCACATTCCTCATCACCCCACTCCAGGCAGGTGTCTCTACTCAATCCAGTCAACTGCAAGGGCCTTCAGTCTCCAGGGGCCCGTAGTACCCTCACTGCGCCACAGAGGACTTGCTCTGTGCCCTTCTCTACTGCAAAGAGGCAAGAGGCAGTGCCACCAGCAGCACAGGGAATTGAATCCAGGTTCCAGGTTCCTTTACCACAAGACCATCCTTCCTCCTGGCTGGATGCTGGGGCACCTGGGTACTAGCATTTCTATGGCTGAACCCTCAGCAAACAGTGACAGAGGGAGAAAAGACTGGGAAAAGAATAGGCAGTTTGTATATCAGAGTCCTAGGGCTGGCCTATCCCTTCATTCCCAGCATATGCTGGGCTGAAGATTCGAGGGGATGAACTGCCAGGCCTACTGGCCTAATGCCTGATAATGAGATGGACACATAGGGGAGCTCTGGGGACCCAGGGGGAGGACCAGGCTACCCCAGACGCACAGAACAATGACTGTCTAAGGTGATGGAAAAGTTGAGCATGCTCCCAGGACACTGGGCTAGGGCCGCTGGCTCATACGTACTCATTGATGGCTGGCTGCTGGTTTCCTGCTCCAGCTCATCTTCTTCAATGCAGGTGCCAACATCGAAGGGGTGGCTAGTGGCCAGCACACCTGGTAGCAGGGCCTGGTCCAGGTACATGTGCAGATTGAGAGGGCCGAGCAGCGAGGAGGAAGAAGGACCGTAGGCAGAGGGGACACTGCTGGTGGAGAGTGATGTCTGTGTCCGCTTGTAGGGATTTGCATGGTCAAACAGGGACACTGCAATTGAAGCCCTGGTCCTAGCACCTGCACATAACATGCCAAGAAAGCTATGAGCACTGAGCCCCAGTTACCTGGTGCTGGGAGGGGAGCAAGGCCAGCACCTACCTCTGCCTTTCATGATGTAATCAATGGCCCGGTCATTGATAGCAGCCTCACTGGGCTTGATATCCAGGAAGGGCTTGTTCCCGACCCCCATGGAAACCATCTCCTGCATGCGGATTTCTGGGGGAATAGCAGTAGAGTGTAAAGGAGGCTCCACACAGGCAGGTCTAGTGTGCAGGGCAGGCACCACATGCTCCCCACAAGCACCATGGAGCCTGCACTCATCTTCTAGGTTAGTGGTTCCCAATGTGGTGCTCATGAGTGCCATGGATAAAACTTCAAAAGAATACAAAGTAAAGGGAAGCTGCATTTTGAAGTTGTGGGTCTAATGCAGTTTTAAGTAATGGATGAGATGATCAGATTGATCTAAATTCTAAACTTTAATATTCATATTGATGCCCCCTTTTTCTTTTAAAACTGAATGTGCCCTAGGGCAAATAAACGTTGGGAACCCCTGCTCTAGGTGCTGGGCCTAGAGTTCCCATGTCTGAACCACCTTAGACAGGCTGTGGTCTCTCTGGTACTGAGATGTGGACCTGGCTGCTCCCGAGACACTCACTGCTCCCAGTGAGATGTTAGAGGGGCCCTACTGGCCCCAGCAACTCAAGCTCTGGTGGGGCTGTTTATTTGGCCCTAGGTCTAGGAGAGGGAGACTGATGTGCCCACCTGAGGGGAGAGGGCAGGTGGGGGAGTGTGCACATAGTTGTCTTACGGAGGGGGCTAGCGGACAGCAATCCCCAGCATGTGACTGCAGGGCTCTACATAGTGCAGGCAGCAGAACAGCTGCACAAAGTCTTTGGGGACCAGGTTCCAAACCCAAGGTTGTTGCACCAACACCACTGAGAGGACAGAAAGGAGCCAAGATATCCTTGGAGTGGGGCTGTACCTTTATTGCGGGCAGCCTGCTGCCACAGGATCTTGGCTATGTCACTGGTCCAGGCTTGTTTGGTCTCAGCTGTGTTGGCCTGGAGGATGTATGTGTCACTGGACTTCCGCCTGCGAAACCAGATCTCGAAGCGCAGACCGCTGTCCCCAGAGTTCTCCGTCAGGCCAATGTCTGCAGTCTGGTGGTGGGTGGAAGAGTCAGCAGCCCAGGCTGCACAAGGGAGCTGCTCTGAAAGTGGGGGAGCCTGTGCCAGGGAGGGGCTGATCCTTGTGGGAAGCAATCTCTGGGGTTAGCTAGGAGCAGGGGATCTGCAGGCTGCCCAGGACAGCAGGCAGGAGAGGATGATCCACTGCCTTAGGCAGGTTTCACATTTGAGCATCTGAGCTATTTAAATTTGCTGTACCCAACCCAGGTGGGGCCTGTGAGGAAGACTCATGAGTGTATGGCTAGGCTGGGCAAGACTGGAGCACAGGTGTGTAGAGACTGGTCAGGCACTTGGCCTCTCTGACTGCAGGTGTGGCCTTGCCAGTCAGTTGGGACATGGAGACGGCCAGAAACTGCTCCCCACTCCCACTCCTGGACTGACTTCATCAGTGCCCCCAGACTATGCCTCAGAGCATGTAAGCACTATGCCCCTGCCACTTTCTTGCCAGAAGCAAACACCCCGATGCTCAGGGAGGCCTCAGCCCTGTGTCCAGTGATGCCCTTACCATTGTAAGGGAACTCAGGCCTGGGCACACAACCTCTTCCCTGGCTCCTTATCTGTGGTGGCCCAGGCACAGAAATGTGGCCAGGCCTCGAGCACAAAAGCAGCTCTCTCCTACAGGCTGTGCTCCCTACTTGCAACAGAGTGGCAAGAGCCGTCTCTCATCAGCATGGTCCTGATGTGGGGTGGGGATACAGCCACACATATCTGGTTTTCTCACCCTTCCTACCTGTCTGTCCCCATCTCACAGGTAGCTATGAGTTCCCTGGGGCTAGGCCTGGCATCTGGCTCTGTGTGCATCACCCAACTGCATGAGGGTCTGGTTCATGCCTGGGGCTGGCAACCACTGCCCTGTACCTGCACCCAGTGAGTTGTTATAACAATGCATCCAGGGCATCCCTGAGGGGCAGTGCTGCTGAGCAGCACATGGCAGAGTTGGGCCTTGCTCACCTTGAAAGAGCGCTTGTAGATGTACACGTCAAAGCCTCCTTCAATTCTCTTGGGCTTGCTGAAGAGGATCAGGTCCTCAAACAGGAAGACATGCCTCTGGCACTTCTTGCGACCCAACCAAATGGTGAACTCATCCTGCCGCACCAGCTGCCCCTGCTCCTTGAGGTTCACCTGGTCACAGAACACACCCCCATTAACTTCACCCATTGAAGCAGGGATGTCAGCTGGACTGCAAGGGACTGATGCATCCCAAACCCCTGGCAAGATCCTAACTGCAGGCACTAAGAACCTGTATGTGGTAGCAGGGACCAGGATGCCAAGACAGACAGGCTTATCTCCCATTCCCCCATGTGCTGGTGGGACACTGCAGCCATTGTCACTGAGGGACAGTATTTACTGAAAGGACGATGAGAAGACTAATCAGAGGCTCTACCTCCCGTTCACCCAGGAACCCTGGCTCAGAGCCACCAAGCATGATGTCCACCCCAGAAGCCAACACCAGACATCTGCACTGCTGGATGTAAGCTGGTCAGGGTTCCAAGACCCCTGCTGGCCCTCAGCAGGGGTGCACATCACCCTATCAGAACAGGAACAGCTGTCACTTGCATGCCAAGACTGAAGGTACCTACAATGGCACCCTGTTCCTTGAGAGTGGAACTGCCCCTGCTGCAGCTTCACGATTTGTACAGTGCCTAGCAAAATAGGGACACTGACCCCATGTGGGGTCTCTAGCTGCTATTGCAATGCATGTAATAGTAACGGTTTCACCTGAGCAAAGAGCTGGTGAAAAGGAAAGAAAAAAGTGGCAAGTTATCAGTTAAGAAATATTGCTACCAATATCAACAGAAACCACCCACAAATGGGAATGTGGAGCCACCTTCTGAAATGCTCCTGAGCTATCCCTTTCTGCCCCAGGCTACTTGCTGGCTCAATGGCCATTCTAAAAGTAGTCTCCTGGTTGGGTTACAAACTGGCCCACTAGGCAGCTTATGGAGCTGCAGCTTGGTGCAGTTCTCGACACTGCTGAGAACCAGGTCTAGCACAGATACTTAGGGCAACACTGTCCTGTTTCAACAGAGAAGGCTCTCTCTGCTCCTACCCAGGTGCAGACAGGGATGTGAACCATATCTGTAGGGTGCTTTGTAGCGGGCATTAGGGTACACTGCCCATTGGGTAAGGAAGGGGGTAGCATGTTTTTTAGAAGGCATAGTAAACACTAGCCCCAGGGCTCCAGCTGCCGAGGAAGTTCATGCTCCCAACTTTGTCTCCCTCAGGCACCTGGCACTGCTGGGATTATCCTTGCTCCATTCAGCAAAGCTGGCCAGTCTGACCCAAAAATTAATTTGGAGGTCAGTGATGGTGGAAACTGGAGTGAGGCCCTTTCTTTGCAATTCAGGCCCTTTGGTTATGGGGGGAAAGGCTATGGGGGATCATTTCAAAGAGTGGTTCTTCACCTACTGGGTGGGTGGTTTCTGCTCACACTGGGAGCAGTGTCTCTAGCTATGGCCTCTGTCACTAACCTAGCTCTTGGTGTTGGTCAGTTTATTGAATGTGGGGTGAGCTCTGGCTAGTGGTTACAGCAAGGGCTGAGCTGAGCTGTCTTTTATTTCTGATGGCAAAGACACAAAGGGCAAATGCTAATGCCAGGGTGGCTTTGGGTTTCCATCTCCATAGGCAGCATTACATGGATGAGACCTACTGGCTTGAGCATGGTGGATGGATAGTGGCCGTCTGCAGAAAGGAGTAGACTGAGCCCCCCAGTACAGGGTGAGGAAAAATCATGTTGTGCCCCTACGTACGTCACAGTCTCGGATGGCATCCATGGCTAGCAAGTCATTGCCATGCCGAAGCTGAAATTTCACCATCTCCTCTGCTGCTCGAAGGTAGCCCAGCTCCTGCTCCTGGGCCTCGCTACATTCCTTTATTAAGTCCTTCAGGAGAAGGGCATATTTGCTCATGCGCTGGATGGGTTTCAGTAGGTAGGAGGCCAAGTCCATCTTATCCCCAAGCTGCACCTGCTTGAACTGAGAACCGCAGAAGAAAGAGGTGAGCAGAGCCAGAACCTGCTCTCCCCCGAACATCTCTCTGCTTGGAGCCTTGAAGCTAGCATTAGCAGTTTTGCAGTTACCAAAGAGCCTACTCAGCACTGCTAGCTAATTACAGGAGTTCAGCATGTTAGGACGTGCAGATGGATTATAAAAGAAGGGCTGATCTGGGCCCTTTTCCAAGGCAGAGCACTTTGAAGGGCAGCCAGCCTTGTGTTCTGGCACCCTCCTCACCCAGTACAGACAGCTGTGCCAGCCAGGCAATTTTAAGTGACCTCATTCCCAGCAGACAGCAGAGCCCACTTTCCATGGCATGGCATAGATGTATCACTCCATGTCCTGAAGAGGAACCGGGCTTGTTTAGGCAGCTTAAGGAGTGGCAAACAAACACAGGAGGATCCCTGGTCTGGGCACAGCGAATGTTATGCAGTGGGATTTACCTTAAAGAAGGTGTTCCCGTGGCTGGCCAGCAGCGAGTCAGATTTGGGTTTGTTTTTGCTGTATAATGCATACATCCCAAACTGGTCCTTCTGCAATAGAAACAAACACATCCTGAATGAGACCACAGCTCTCATTCACTGGAGCCACAGGGCTGTAGCTGTACAAGACCTTGCTATCATATTGCCTTTTCTCTTTGTGGAGGAATGCTACTGTGGGTCTGTATCAACTGCCCTGACTTCCACTTGCCACATGGGGTGGGCCCACAAGGGGTTAGTTAATGGGAACTGGGGAGGACTACTGTCCCTCTGCATTCCTGGGACCATGACAGGAATTTTGGCTTGCTCCTTCACACCTCTCTCAATGGCAGGGCAGATTGTTTATTGTTGCCCTGTACATGGTTCCTGTGACTCTTTCACTGAAGGCCCCACAGCCTTCAGACATGGCTGCCACCATTGAACAGGAAAGAAAAGAGATACCAGGAGTAACTGGCATTAGAGATCAGGTGAAGCCTGGTGTGGAAAGCAATGTGCCACCTCTGCCTTGGAGCCGATGCTCCCTGCACTCTTCTTCCTCTCTGCAAGATTAATAGAGACACAGCCAGGAGAGGCCTATCTTTGCTCTTAGGGATCATCTGGTCCAGTGAGTCTTACTTCAGTTGATGCCACAGACCGAGGATGAGGTGGAGGATAAGCCACAGGAGCAGATGGATCCTAAGGAGCAAAGGTCCTGTCGCCATGAAAGTTTTCCCTAGTAGCAAAGAATAAAGGGAGAGGAACACAACATCTGTTGCCATCCAGACTCACCCCTAAGGGGCTGCCCTCAGTGCCAACTCTCTGCTGGGCTTTGACTGAATGCTGCCCCTCACAACCAGAACAGATACCTGCTGCCAGGAGGTGGTTTCTTAGTGTCACTAGGAGCACAATCAGGCCTAGTGCCTGAGTTAAAATTGGTCAGCACATCTACTTCTCCAGCTGCTTATACTACAAGATGGGTGTAACATCAACCACCGTCATGTAGAAAATAGCAGACACTCCTGCAGAGCTGGGAAGAGCAACACTGTCATCTCCCAAGCTCCTATTTATGTACCCTGGGGCTAAACCATCCTCACTGAACTGTAGGTCCCTAGCTCCAAGGTGAACACCAGCTGGCTTGGCAGACTCACTACTGGCATCTTCACTAATGTCGATGTGGCACCCATAAAGCTATGTGGGCTGCAAAGCCAGAAGGCATGTTCTTCACTGGCCTCTGGTGTTAGGGGCCCAGGATGCAGCTTTCAAGATTAGTTAGCATGCAATGCTCAGCACTGCAAGAACACAGGTGGCCAATCCAACCAGGGAGCACCACTGCTCCCAGACAATGCCAGCTTCCTTGAGAAATCCCATCCGGATCTCACCAGAGAACAAGGACAGGAAAAATAATCAGATGCCTTACATGTCTGAGGAAGCAGTGGCTGACCCGTAGTGGGTGGTTGCAGCAGCTCTCCAGCTCCCGCAGGAAATACTGGCTGTGGAAGTCATAGAGTTTCTCCAGGTTTCCAAAAATGACACTGCGCTTCCCCCTCAGGTCCTGAGGAAGGTCTGTACGCTCCATCTCAGGAAAGTAGCTCTTGATGATGTAGCACAAAGATTTCACGTACTCCCGCTCTGTGGTCACCATCTCATCAATGATATGCCGCAATTTACTGCAAATGGAAACAAAATCTAAGTTGAGTTCAGGAAGGCAGGAGTAAGGCTCAGCTTCTATAGGACCAGGTCTGGCTCCTAGACCAGATGGTGATGTCCAAATCTCAGCTGGACACTCTGAGTAGATAGGGCAGGTCAGCTTTGCCCCTAACAACTTCTCTTGCAATTCAGTGGGCCTGGCACCTCTGTCAGAAACAGCTTTCAGGAAAACCAGATGAGAGACACCCTAGGGGCTGGGTGAGCTCCTTTTTCTAAGGAGGACAAAACACTATAATCCTGGGGCCATAATCCTGATTCACTCCACATAAGCTCATACAAGCCAAAGCAGAAGGCATAGGCCTCCCCACTCACTGGAGATGTGATGGCTGGGTGGCCCAGAAAAATAATCAGACATCACAAGTGAAGTGAAAACAATAAATTGGCTCTGTTTGGGTCCACTAAGTATCAGCAATTGCTGCTGTTGACAAAGGCCATGAAAGTGTTGCAGACCACCACAGCCTACAGCTCTGGGATAGCACCATTGCCAAACGCTGCTGGTGCTCACCAAAGCTGTGAGCCAGAACTGCAGGGAGGGTCAGGTACTGACACATAAATGCCTCTCGTGATTAACAGCAGACCACCTTCCCCCAGCACAAGAACAGCTAGTGTAGTAATTCTTAACCAGGGTGACACAGCCTTTTACAGGTGCCACAGACTGCCAGATAATATTAGCACTGACAGGTGTGCAACCCCTACACATGGCTCACAAGTTAAACCCAGAGATTTCAAAATAGGAATCCAGAGTATTAAAAACATTCTGACCTGACCTGAGCTCTCTGCAACAGAAGGATTGCTCTATTGTTTTTACCTAGTCAAAAAAAGACTGAAAGCTAAGAGCTGGCATTTTCTGAGGGGTGCTTTGAGTCTAAGAAGTTTGAGGACCATTGAGCTAGTGGCAGGTTTTCTGAGAGTTTGAGGGTGTAGATACTCCTTGCCACTAGCCAGTTCTTAAACACCACAGCCCTATGGCAAAGAGGACTAATGCCAATCACCAATGGTGAACTCAGTCATCTTTCCTTCGTTCCTCTCCAAGTGGCAGGGAGGGTTGTTTACTGGTGCCCTGAAAATCTTTCCTGGTACCCCTTGGCTTTATGTTCACAAGGGGACAGGGCCATTCCTCTGTTTTCTCACATGACAGAAAACAGTGCAATGAGAGAGTCACAACGATCTCATTTGCACTGGTTTGGGCATGGAGACCAAACATTCAACCTCCCCTGAGACAATCTTCTATCCTGGTGGAAGGGCAGGGTATTGCACTTGGATCTTAGGTCATTTTATTGGACAGAATGGCCGCCAGATTTACAGAACAGGTTGTCTTGTGCTGATCTGAGCAGATCAAAACAGATCCATTAGACTGGGGCTTTTACTATGAGGCAGTCTTCTCTACAAGTGAGTGAGTGCTTGAGGAATGGGTCTGGATCTGGTTTCCTGTCTGGTTCCAATCACCTCAGACTTCTTTTCACCTCTGATGCTGCCAGTGACTACTACTGAGGTCTTTGTAACTGCTACTGTTGCCCTCAATATCCCATGAAAGGGACTACAGCACTTGTCCATTCCCTGAAGAAATAAATTCTAAAGTGTCTCATAACCTCAAGTCTACCAGTCTCCAAAGCTTGACTCTGGTGGTGCCCAATTGATGGAAAAACGTTTGAGCTGTAGGGTCCCTGCTCTTAATGGTTTTGCTCTGTGCCAAGAGTCACAGAGAGGTAGGCCAAGGTATCCAACTCATTTTATATCATATCCCACAGTAACAAGGTGGTTGATGGGTGTCTCCATCACAACCTGTCCTGTTCTGGACTTTCAGCTCTGACAGTTTATCATGGTTTGTATTTTTTCAAATCCTTGCAGGGCCTGGGGGGAGCGTGGGCTGTAAACCTTGGCGTTAAACAGCTCTTAGTACTCCTACCATACTAGGCTGTGTGGAACATTGTACAGATCACCCTTGGCCTTCAAGCAGAGAATGAGGTCAGGCCAACTCAGCTTAGACTCAAAGGATCAAGTGTTGTCCGATATTATGAGACTGCCAGTTTTCCTGGGCCTATGTGGCACAGAACTTATTGAGCTAGAGGGATGACAGTCTTGGGGCTTGCACCTGTATTGTGATGTTAGCCAACAGTGAAAGGGCTGCCATTCCCTTTATTTGGGGGCACCTACAGCAAAAGCTGGCTTTGGGACAGCAGTGCTTTCAATTCCACTAATACACAGGACTCCACCTGGGCCATTCCTGCTAGCTGGATTCGCCAGTAGGTGACGGCACTGGACACATGGATTCACAGACATGCAGGCACCTTCTCACTGCTGAGCTCTGCTCCAAAAGTGTGGCAAAGACATGAGGAGTAGACACCTCTGCCAATGCTAGTAACTCCCCTTCAGCATTTCTCCTGTGGAGCCCCTCTCTGCATTGCCATCCTGCAGAGCTCTTCCTGGTGCCTGTGAGAGGTGGCAGTTCAGCTCCAGTCTGACACATTCTCTGCAAGGGCTAGATCCCACATTCTTAAACAGTCCCTGGTACAGGGTAACTTTTGTTCTCTGTTTCATCAGTCTTATTGTTGGATGTGACTCCTAAAGGTGGTGTTTCCCTGGTGTAACAACTACAACACTACCTGCCAGTTTAACATTTGCAGAGGTGATTGCACCAGTACCCCCAGTGCAGGCCTAGTCATCTTCCACACACAAGTGTGTTGGGAACATTAAAATACACCAGCATATTTTTATTACAGACTTTTCCTGGAGTACCTTTGCCCAAGACTCAAAGCAGGTGTAGGGCTATGTTGTCTAGCTGCTTCATTTTTATTGGTATCAAGGCTAATTACACTGGTATAAATGCATTGTGTGTCCAAGCCCTTAGTCCTAAATGGCAAATAGCCTGGTCAAGTGTCCTCCGTTTGCATCTGGGGGTATATTTGCACAAGGCTGTCCCACAGATAGGGAGGATTCTCCCCTGACCAGTGGAAGACCAGCTCTCATACTGGACAGGGCGGAAGAAGACTGGTGTGGAGGAGAATCCAGGTTCCCTTGTCAAATTGGTCTCCTGCCTTGCCCTGCCTTGCTTACTTTCCCCTCTCCATTTCATGTATATCCTTCCCACCTGGTTAGAGAGGGACCATGACCTTGGTGACATCATCTGCTTTTAATGCCATTCGCTACACATTTCCCCATTAGAGATGCTTTTCCTTCTTTTTTTGAAGGCAGGGGACACTGCTGCAGCCTGTGTGGGGAAGGATAGTAGCTCCTTTCCTGAGCCAGCTGCCCCACGGGACCATGCTGGGTGTATCAGGAAGACAGGGTTGCCCTTCTGTCCCTCTTTTTCCAACCCCCCATCCTCTGAGACCTGCCTGCTCTCCCAGGACTTGCCTTAGACCCAAAACTAAGCAGGATCCTGCAGAGCTCCAGCATCTGTTACGAGGAGTGCTGTTGACTGCCTCCCTCTAGAAATCAGTATTGTGTCCCCACTCATGCTGCACAGAACTGTCAGCAGTAATGGGCCACACAAAGAATCACCCACCTGCCCCTGCTTCTTGCTTCTGGTGTGGAGATGAAGCTCTTCTGTGCTTCCGGCAGACAGTCCGCAGCCCAGCTGTAGGCAATTTGCTGCCGTGACGTGCAAGTCCTGTCCACGAGCTCAGTGCTGCTTACTTCCAGCCCCTTAATGAAGACCCCTGTGTTGCCATACCTGGCTGGCTCACTCAGAGTCCTCTGGCAACTAGAGCGCAGGCTCTCACTGCAAGGAAGGTCAAAGCTTTGAGCCTTTCTCAGTGTTCTCTTGGGAGGTGGCCTCTTGGAAGCTGGAGAGGAGGAGCTGGGTAGCTTCACTTCAAGGATTTCCAAGATGCTCTCCAGGTTTGGCTTCTCCTCAGGCACATTGCCTGGAAGTTTTGATGCCTCAGAGCCCCCCACACTAAGGGAAGCCCTGCTTGAGCTGGGACTCATGCTGGGAGTTGCTTGGTAGGTAAAATCTTCCCCAACGCTTATATCCCCATAGCTGCTCGTGGATGGCAACAGAGTCTTTTCCTTAGTCCACCCAGGGGAGCGATTTGATCTGCTGTAGAAGTGGGATCCACCTTGACTCCTGTCCAAGGGCAGTCCATGGGCAGCCCCCTCAGAGTGTCTCCTGTGAGAGAAGCTACCACCCTCACTGCCAGGCCTGGCCAGCTCCCCATCAGCTGGCTTCCGGTCTGATGGCAGAGACCTTTGTGTTCTCAGAGCAGCTTCCAGCTTCTTCTCAAAGACCAGTTTTGTCTCCTGGCACTTGGACCAGGCAAATTTCCACTGCTTTAGCCCCTTGTCACTCTTGAGCTCACATGCAAGCTCTTTCATCTCCTGGAACTTGGCATCACTGATTTCTGGGTGCTGTCCCTTGTAGCTTTCCAAACACTTGATCACAGCTGCACAGTGCTCAGAGGAGCTGCAGTCCTCCATGCTGATGCAGGCAAGGTGTCGCATCCCTTCTAGTGCCCACTCATAAGCCTGCAACAACAAAAAAGCAGCCAATCAGATTAGAGTGGAAAGAATAAAAACCCAACTCAGTGTCCAAGTGCAGGACAAGAGAAAGGACCAGTGTGCTGGCCGGGACAGTACCGAGAGTGTGAACCAGAGGGGGGCTGCCATTGTCAATGGGGCTTAACAGCTCAGCAAAACAAATGGCTCTTTATCCGGAGGGTTTCAGCTGTGCTACATGCTCAGCCACCACCCTGCCTTCCAGTCAGGTCACTCTCATGCTAAGTACATTTACTGCAGGCTGTCTTGGACGTACTGTGTTTGTCTTCTCAAGTGCCCCTCCTGGCCCTGGGAAGTGTCCCTGGGAAGTGCCCCTCCTGGCCCTGGGAAGTTGTTAGCAGCACTGCAGGGTTCTCACACATCCACAGACTGGGCGGTTATGTGGGAGTCCCATATTTTACCTGTATCTTATGTCCAACACTTCCATTCCCTTCCCACCCAATGGGGAAGGGAGTGTTATTAGCAAGTGGCTAGACTTGTTGGAAGTGAGGCCACTGCTGTTTGTCTGGATCCCCTTGGGGATGTGTGGGCCTGTACACTGCAAGCATTACACCTGATTGTGTCATCAGGTAGCTTTCCCATTCAGAAGCTTTGGGTAACTGCGCAGCAGGACAAACCCAAGTATACCTGTTTTCTACTCATTATGAGGATGATTCTGAGCATTAATGGGAGAGGTCCTCACAGCCCCTGTTGGCACTGGGCACAGAGCTCGGCTCACTGGCACTGCTGGGATGCTTGCTCAAGAAGGGTAGTTGGTGCAGTGCTGCTGTCTGGGGGCCAGATTTCCCAAGTTCAGCTTTACAAGGGCTGAGGGGACTGGCAGACAAGATGGGAAACCTTGGACTTGTACAGAGAGAGGAGCCACTCCCTTCCCTACCCCAGAGGCGGCGGGTATACAGGGGGGGAAGATAATGGCAGCTCTGAGGAGAGAGCACAGCGCATGCAGCAGCCCAGGAAACAAGAATCCTCTCCCCACCCTAAAATGGAGGATTGCAGGTGTGTGGCTGGTTCCTCATGCTGGTTCTGGGAGACAGGATTCAGGCTAAAAACAGAGACATTTAAAAACAGGACTTGGGAGCCTGGCCTGACGCTTTCTCCTATGTCACCAGTCCATCTTTGTGGCCCCTAACCCAGCTTGCCTTACCCTGACCTTTTACCTCTGTGACCTTGGCCTCTAACCAATTCAGGCTTTCTGTTCCCCTATCCTCAACTTTTGGCCCTCAGCCTAGCCAGGTCTGGCAATATCCATTAAGTGTATCAGCAGCTGCCATTGGAAAGTTGTGACTATTTTAGTGGTAGCTCTTTACAAGGATGCCAAAAAGTGTGCTCTTCTGAATAAGAGCAGTCTATTTAGCACACACGTGGGCCACAGGCTGCATGCCCCCCTTGACCTGCTGCAGACGTTCTTCCCCCCCCCCCATACTGCATCATGCTGGTACCCCTATGCCATGCCATGTGTCCCCCACCACTGCCATGCATTGCACCACATGGACCTCCTTGCCATACCATGCAGCAGGCATCCCCTGCCACACCGGTACCCCTGCTCCATGTGGGATCCCCTTGAGTGCCCCAACCACTGTAGGGGTAGGAAGGGGAGCCCAGAGACTCTGGTGGCAATAGTGGGAGAATGATGGACAGAGCAGGACTTGGATGGGGAGCCAGAGGCCATAGTTTAGCCCCTTAGGGGCCAAACACAGCTTGCGGGCCACCAGACAGACAGCACTGACTTAGAGCAACAGGGCCCCAATGCCTGGCTGCCATTCCTAGTACTCTACATAAATAATCACTGTAGTAGATGTTGGACACAGTTACAGTATGACACAGGTATTTTCTGTGTAAACCAGGTGGAGCAGGAGTCAGGAAACTATGGCCCATGGGTTGGATCTGGTCTGTGAAGAGGTTGGATCTGGCCCAGAAGGCCCACCCCAACAAAGGCAGCAGGGTGGATCAGGTGTTACACAGCTGTGCTGAGCCACCCATTCCCTATGCAGGCCCCTCCTCAGCAGCTTCCCTGCTTTTCTCTCCAGCCTGTGCTTACCCTGGCCGCAGGGGGTTAAGCATGGGAAGGGTGAGCTGGGAGCGTGGGAGTCGTGGGCCTTGTCAGGGAGCCGGGTTACAAGCTCTGGCCCAGGGCAGCAATATGTTGCCAGCCCCTGGGCTGAAGACGTTTTGCATCCAGCTATTAGCCACGCGAGGTGTATATCCATGTAGGCAAACTGTATAACCACACACTTGTAATGGGCACCAGTTCAGCTAGGAAACCTGCATGCACAGGGGAAGTAGGCAGGCACTGCTTAAAAACCGGTCCCCCACAGTTACAGGAGTCATCTACATGGGTTCAAACAATTTGAATATCTACTGCTGTGTGAATGCTGGGAAAGGCTGGCTGGGACTGCTGCATGCAGCTGAATTCCCACATTGTAGTGCATCCTCTCCACACACTTTGTGGACTGTTGCTAACCTTCAGTCATTTACATGACAGCAGCATTATGAGCACAGGGAGCACAGCAGAAACCCATGCAAGGGGAGTCCCCATCCTTAAAAATCTAAGACAAGGTACCAGCAAGTGTAACCACCAGCGAGAAGGAATGCTGGCAGAAAGGCTGGGACCACAGCAGGAGTAAAACGGGGCTACTGATTGACAGTGCTTAGCCTTTTTGTTTTATTTAAATAAATCAAAGATACACAAGCAGGCAACTCATGGCAGTATGTACTGTCTCTGCTGGCTTTCAGCCTGGCTGTTATTGTTGCCTGAGTGAGCCCAATTTCATTCCAAATTACAACAGTATAAATATAGACTATTTTCTTTGGAATCAACAGTGATTTGGGGCTTGCACCAGTAAAGCGGACTACTGGCCCCAGTACCCAGCAAAACAGATATTTAATGTTCTGGTTTTACTCAAATGTAAAAGTGCCGAATCTGACTGACTACACTGAACCCAGACATCTCTGACCTCAGTCTCCTTGGTGGAAAGCTAATGGCTGGTTGTCCAACTAATACTTGAAAATTAATATCTCCTAAAGAAACAACTGGATTATAAAAAAGGTTTGGACACATGATTTGGATAAAGGCAACTGTAATGGGTACCGAGTTTCAGGCAATGGGACTCAATACTATGCAAGTCACCAAATAGGGTTCTCTGACCTGCATTTGTTCTGCAGAGGTCAAGCCACATGGTCTAACAGTACCTTGTGGCCAAAATCTATATCCAAGCTTTCACAGTGCCTCTGAGGATCCTGCTCTCAGTGTCTGCTCTACTGCCCACTCAGCACCTCATCAAAATCTTAGTTATCAGCCAACAAAGCATGGTGATGCGGAGCAACTAATTTACTAGGAGCTGTAGCCCCATCGAACAGCCTTAGGTATTTGGGACTTGTACAGTGTGAAATGCGTCTGTCAACACTGAATTCCAATGAGTGGCCTTTCTTCTGTGCAGGGAGTAAAGACTGGGGAGGCAGATGGCCAGGAGGCTGCTGACAGCTGCTTTTTTCTGCAACCTAGAGGGGATGGTACATCTTTAGTTGTCCAGTAAAGCAACCCAGACCCCCTTGCCCTGCACACACCAAACATTTCCTTCCCAGAGGCAGATGGGACCCAGCTGTCACATACACAACTGGCCCAGAATTTTTTAATGGTATGTTTTTTCCATTAAAAAAATGTCCATTTGTTGAGACAAACCTTTCCTGAGAAATGGTCAAGTTTCAATTAATTTATCAACTTGAAAACTATGTGAAGACGGCATTAGGAAATGGTCAAACTGTTTGGTGTTTTTTAAGGAAAACATTACACTTTTCCAATTCAAGATGACTTGGTTATCAAATTTTAGCTAATTAAAAACAGCCCTGAAAATTAGCAAAACATAACATTTCAATTGAGTAACTCTTTTTTACATTTTTAGTTCACAAAAAGGGTAGATGTTAAATTTTTATTCCAATTTGGGACACGAACCCACCCTCCAAAAAACAAAACAAAACAAAACAAAAACCAGTTTTCCCAGGATAAGGAAGTGTTACTTGCCCACCTCTGGCCATTCGTGCTCCCCTGCAGTTTAGGGCAGCTGCCCCAGGTCCCCTCAGGAGGCAGAGTTCAGAAGGCACACACAAAGCAAGCACAGCATGCTTCACAGGATTGATGTCAGCAGGCTGATCCCTGCTGGGTGGCAAGTCCTTTCCTTTCCATTGCTGCCTAAACACATAGTGAAGCCATATTTCAAGCTACTTCTCTGGTTGCTTGATTTCTACTGCTCAGTGTATATGCAATTCAGTAGCATGAAGTGGGGTGGGTGAGTGAGGCACCAGTCTGAGACACCAATTTAGTAGGGATGCCAGAATGGTTGCCCCTCTGCACCCCACTAACCAAAGCCACATGCCATGAAAACCGGCCCAAGTAGTACTGGCAGGATGCGTGGCTGGGCAGAGAGGTGCTTCGGGGCTGGGATCTTGTGGTGATGACCGCGTGGGGCAGAGCTGCATCAGCTGCCCACACACCCCAGGCAGGGGCATGCAGGCAGCAGACTGCAGCTCTGTCTCACCTCTGGACCACGCTGTCACTTCTGCAAAATCCCATCCCCAACCCCAACCCTGGAGCAGCTTCCTGCCCAGCCACTCTCCCTAGCAGTGCTGGTTAGGCCGGTCTCTATGGAAACTGGCCACAGCGACACAGGCAGGGGCTGCTGGGAAATGGAGTCTGGCTGCTGGCTGGGTCCACCATTTTGCCCACCCCTGGTTTAATGATTCAGCTTCAAAGGACCAGAGTGAACCATTCTTCTCCTGGGCCCCAGTGGTGAGAAGCGACTTGGCTGGGTTAATGTCACTCTCCATCTTGCTGTTCCCTATGAACTGGGATGATGTAAAAGCAGGGTCTTCTCAACGGAGGGCTCTTTTGCTGCATATCCTCTTGAGCCCCTCCACAGATGTCTTCATGGTTCATTTCTCCCATCTCTTTATTCATATCTCTCTCCTTAGAGTAG